AGATTTGTAATTAATATTTTAAGCTGATCCGATTGATAGTGATTCAGTCTTGGGATTTCTTAATTAGGGTTTTCGATTATAAGAGTAGTTTTGGCTGAACTGTTCTTGTTTCTTGGATTACTTAAATTGCTTGAGAAAGGGTTTAGGTGATCAGATCAACTGATCAAGAAAATGAATTGAATGTATCTTAGAGATAATATGCATGATTTGTTTGGCATTCATTCAACAAGAATTGATTTCCTTCAAATTTTTTTTCCTTAATGCATCTATGGCGATTGAATTCTTGATAGAAATATAAGACTTGTTGCTCATAAATAGAGTGGGCTGTGTTCAAAAGAGGCTGCTCGTACAATTAGGAATTAGCCAACCCATGATTGAATTCAACTTCGGTTGGATAGCTTAATGGTATAATCGCTGAACCGGTTCTGCTAGTATTTTCGTGAAGCACTTCCTCTCATTACTTAAGGCGGTTTGATCCGAGAAAACTTAGGATAATTTGCTAATTAGGAGTTAGGTTTTTCCTTGTTTAACCTTTCGGATTGTTAGATAACGAAAGGTTGATTCAGTACTAGTAGTTGTTGGATTAATCCCTATGGGAACGATACTCTGCTCATCAGTATATTACTTGATCAACTAGTGCACTTGCTAGTGTAATCTAAACGCATCAATAGCTGTCCTTTGTTTCAAATCGAGAACTCCCAATTGACTTGGACGATAGGACCGTTTGGCCTGAGAACTGTCTAGGCAACCGGTTCTGTTTTACCCCAAACCCGGCCCTGGCAAAAAAATGTTGGATCATTCAATGATCTATTGACTTGAGTGGTTGAATTGTTGACCCGTTGACCCATTCAACGGTTTTTGGCCATTTTTTATTTTTAAGGGAAAATTTCTGATTAGTACCCTATACTTTGGGCCTAGTGCCACTTTGGTCCCCAAACTTTAAATGCAGCAATTCAATACTCGAACTTTCAAAACATGACAATGTAGTACCTGTTGTTAACCAACCATTAAGTAGCATTTGAAAAAGACACAAATACCCTTCAAGTGTCTTCTAATTTTCTTTAACAACCATCCAAACATTGACAAAAAAATTAACAGTCTTAAATCCTTACATTTCTATTCTAGAAAGTTGGGGTCACTAGAATGCGCACTCAAACATGACCCTAACTTTCTTGAATGGAAATGGCGATGATTTGGGACTGCTAATCTTTTGTCAATGTTTAGATGGTTGATAAAGAAAATTAAATAACACTTAAAAGGACATTTCTATCTTTTTCAAATGCTACTTAATGGTTAGTTAGCAACTAGTTAACGATAGGTACTGGATTGCCATGTTTTAAAAGTTTGGGTATTGAATTATCACATTTTAAAGGTCGGGGACCAAAGTGGCACTAGGCCCAAAGTATAGGGTACTAATCGGGAAATTTTTTAATTTTTGTTGTCATAACGAGCCATCCGTTCGAACTGGACGGTCGAACTGTCGACCTGGAAACCGGTGGCCAAAATGGTTATGTTTCTTGGTCATTTTTTCTAGATGTCAATAATTATATGAAATAAATTTGTAGTCATAGTCATGGGAAGGGTGGACATTGCAAGGGATTCCAAAACCTTGAAAGATAAATCCAAAATGACCTTAAACATAGAAAAAATTGGTGGTAAATCCACCAAACTGGAAAAACCAAGGAAAAAAAATCAGAAAATCGAGTCCAAAGTTCCGCTTTGAGACGGAGCTAAACATACATGCAATCAAAGAAAGAGATAAACCAAATCATCTTGTAAGAAAAAAAAAAAAACATTGCACAAGTGAAAAAAACGAAGGAAAGAAATAAAATGGTGATAAACCCTAGACCGTTTTGGAGGATCTTGAAGAAGAAGACCAAACACACAAAAAAAAGCAAAAAGTGAAAAAAAGGAACATACCACACATGTTCGAATAAAGCCCACAGTAGAAGAAACCTTTGAATAGTGAAAATTCAAAAGCATAAAAACCCATGGTTTTTAAACTATCGTTGACCCGAATTGACAAACATTTCGGCCCAGGAACCATCCAAGCAACTGGTTCCATTTTACCCCAATCCTGATCCCTGGCAAAAAACCGTTGAATCGATCTAGGACCCATTGACCTGGGCAATCGAATTGTCGACCCAAAATCCGGTGGCCAGAACGGTTCCATTTTTGAGTCGTATGAGTCACACACTCGAATGACATAACAAGTATGATAATGCTTAATGGACCTCACACACTCAATTTTTTGCTTATAATTTTTGTTGTCAAAACGGGCCGTTCGTTCGAACTGAATGGTTGAATTGCCATTTTTTATTTATTTTTAATTGGGAACCGTCAAGCAATCGTTTTTGTTTTACCCCAATCCTGGTTCCTAGCCAAAAACCGTTGAATCGATCAACAACCCATTGACGTAAGCGGTCGAATCATCGACCCAAAAACCGGTGGCCAGAACGGTTTCATTTTCGAGTCGTATGAGTCACACACTCGAATGACATAACAAGTATGATAATGCTTAATGGACCTTACACACTCAATTTTTTGCCTATAATTTTTGTTGTCAAAATGGGCCGTTCATTTGAACTGAATGGTCGAATTGCCAATTTTTATTTTTTAATTGGGAACCGTTAAGCAAACGTTTTTGTTTTACCCCAATCCTGGTTCCTAGCCAAAAACCGTTGAATCGATCAACAACCCATTGACGTAAGTGGTCGAACCGTCGACTAGTTGACCTGTTCAATAGTTTTTGGTCATTTTTTTATCTTTTTAATTTTGTTGTTAGAAAGGGTCGTCCATTCGAACTGAACAACCGAACCATCGACCCAAAAACCAATGGCCAGAACGGTTCCATTTTTGGGTCATATGAGTCACATGCTCGAATGACATAACACGTATGATATTGCTTAAGGGACCTCTCGCACTCAATTTTTTGCTTGTAATTTTTGTTGTTAGAACAGGCCATTCGTTCGAACCGGATGATCGAACCGTCAATCTAAAAACTGGTGGCTAGAACGGTTATGTAATTTTTTGCTTATAATTTTTGTTGTTAGAATGGGCCATCCATTCGAACAAGTCTATCTTTATTTAATATGATAAATGTATGAGAGTAGATGCATGCACACATTTTTTGACAATTTTTTTTGTATTTTTTGTTTTTATCAAATTTTCAAGTTTTTATTACATAATTATGACATCATTGGTATCCAAACAGTTGAATCATTAGAGGTGTTAGTTGTAGGGGTGCAAAATGGATGGATCATGATCCAATTTGAATTCAAATCTGATATATAAAATAATAGGACCCGTTAAAATATGATTGAATTCGAATCACACACACATATATTGCGTTTTTGTATTATATATATATATATTTATATATATATTTTGAAAAATGTTTGTATTTTTTTGTTTTTCTTTGTATAGACTATTTTATTTCTTTTTTTTTCCTATTAATAATTTGTTAAACCTTACCAACTTATATGGGTAATCAAATCGGATTAAATCAGATTCAAATATCCAACATCCATAACGGATTCAAATTCAAATTCATCTTTGGATATATGATTAACATTATTGGATCAGATTTAGATATACCCCATCCAAATTTGATCCAATCCATTTGCATCTATAGCAAGTTGGGTGAGTTAGGCTTAATTTAAACCGAACTTAGGCCCAACACTAAGAATTGGGTCTAAGGCTCGAGTGCAAGCCTAATCTCTCCAATCCATGCCTAATTGCATTGGAATTTGATACACTTGGGTTTGGGGCGTGACTCATGTTGCTAAATCAGCCCATACTATAATTTTTTATAAATGTGTGTGTTTATGTATGCATATATGTATTATATATGCACACATGTCTCTATTGTATATAATTAGATTGGGCTCAAGCTACCTAAGGGCTAGATTCAAGTCCAACCCAAAAATTAGAAAAGAGGCCAAACTTTGGGCCTATGCAATCCAATGACCAAAAATCCAAGCCTTGCTCGTCTTAAATCACAATCTAAGTCAGTCCAAGCTTGGGTCAGGTTCACCTAAGTAGACCCCTATGGAATGTTGACCACTATTTAGACAGAAAATATTTTTCTTTATGAGTTGGTTTAACTTTCTATTCTATTTTCATCATTAAAAAACCTTTATTTATCACACTTTTTTAACATGATAGATACATATTTTTTATTAAAAATTCGAATATATTTTATTAATTCTAAGCTATTATTTTTTCAAAAAATTTTCTTTTACCCATTTGACCTAAAATGTTGAACCATTAATCCACCACTTGAATAGGAAAATGGTTTTGGGTTTGGGTAGTTTTTAAATTACATATTTCATTTCAACCATTAATTAATAATTCTTCTTATTTATCATACTTTTTATATGATAAATATGACACCATGGGTTGGCCCATTTAATCGATGATTTTAATTACTTACATGCTATCTAAATTGAATGATGATTTCATTTTCATGTCAATTTAAATGCATAGGTTTTGTATTGTTAAAATTATTAATTATTAATTTAATTAATATAATTTATTAGTGAGAAACCAAAATACCTCAAATAAAAAATATAATCATAGAGAACGAGAATTAAGTCATTAACATTTTAAATATAGGACTTGGAAAAATCCCTTTTTAATAGCCCTTTTTATTCTAAATTATTATAAAATTAATTGTCTTTTGGTGCTTTGTTAAAATGTATATTTGTCCCCAAGAAATTCAATGATTAAAGGATAATTTATGTCAATGAAAATTCCAGAAAACCAGCCTATGCAGTTTCATATCATAACTAGTATAAATATAGATATAGATAGATGCAAATAACTATATTATATATTTATATAAATATATTTTTAAAATATTATTTGTATTTTAAAATTTAAATATAAATATACTTCTATATATTATATTATTATTTGAATATGTGTTAATTACCCAAAAACTCAAAAGACTCAAAATAAACCGAATAAGTAGATGGCATTTTTGTAAAAACCCACTCCACCCGCAAGTCGCACTGCCCCCACAATCACATTCCCCAAATTCCCGAAACCTGAAAAATTGAAAACCGAACCCTAGCTCTCCGCCTCTGCTCATATTACCTGCTGCGGTGGCGGTATTACCTCCAGTCTCCCCCCAAATCGGTGACCACGGCGGCACAACACAGTTCCCCATCCCCTCTCTGAGTCCCTGTTCAGCATAGAGCTGCAGCGGCGTCCACGGTCGGAAACCACCAACCAGCACAGCGGGCCAGCGGTGTCGGCCGTCCGCCCCTCCCAGTTTGTCTGTTCAGCAGCGGTGTGATCGGCGTCCGGATACTAGAACTGTAAAGGCCTTCTTGTAAGTTTTAGGATTTTCGTGTTTTACTCCATTGTTGATTGTTTTGCTTTTAGTGTTTTACATGCTTGTAAATGCATTATCAACCAATTTTCGGCATTTCCTCTCACTCCCGTCATGTTTCATGGCCTTAGTCATTCACCCTCAACGTAGGAGCAACCCTTGATATATGTCATTTTCAAATTTCAATATCCTAAGTGCCTTGTGCTGAACTAATTTCATTAACGAACGGACCTCTTAAAAAGGAGTTCACTTGCGAGGAGTTAAATTTTCCAAGCGGCTTTACAGAAATGTCGGGGAACTCTTTCCACCAACTGAGCACTTATTTCAGATTCGGCCGAAATGTCTTGATTTCTCAAAAGCAACTCAATGGCATCCGGTCTTCATAGCCATGCCAAGGGCAATTTAATCCAAACTCATTACTTTCTTACATAAATCCTTGTATTGAAGCCATTAACCATTGCAACTTTGCAAGTATTATTGTTAGTCTTTTACAGAGTCCAGTAACAGAAGTTACAGAATCGTGCCTACAAAATAAGTCTGGAAGTGCTGTTTTGAATTTCTGAGATCAATGTTGGCTATTCCAATGGAAGAAACTATTCTCTTTTGAGGTTTTATTTCCAACAACGGAGAATCTGTGTGCTTGAAAGTTTAGGAATGTGGACTGTTACATTTCCTTAATTCATTTATTTATTAGTCCCAATTTGTTTTCATAATTCTCTCATTGTAAAAAGTAAATGGCCAAAATCTTTGAGTTGCATTTATTTGTGCACTGGATAGTTTTATTTTCCTATCCATAAGACAGTTTTTTGGCAGGTAAAATAAAGTATTAAGAGTTTAGGGCTAAAAGATGAGTTCAGGAGGAGGTGGTGAGAAAGGGTCAACTACCACAAAGACCCCAGCAGATTTTCTCAAATCAATCCGGGGACGACCAGTTGTTGTCAAGCTTAATTCTGGAGTTGACTATAGAGGTTATTTATTTCTTTTTCCTCTTCTTTGAGTATGTTCATTACTCTATGTGCTAACTTTCTCATAAAGTTTGGATATTTCTGCATTCAGAATTAATATCTGTTTGTTATCTGTATGATTAGTAACTAATTGAAAATCTCCTGCTTATATCTGTTCTTTCACAAGAAAAAGTGGATTCTTTGGGAACTGTCCCGTTTTTCCAAACATTATTACTACTGTATCTGTATGAGAGATTGCATAAGATAATGTCTGGTTGAGCATAAAGAAACTTCAATTAAAATTGAAGTACAATGTAAAGTAAGAAATGGCAGCATAAAAAATTGGTAAAAAATGCAATTCAAAATCCTGTCTTACATGAAAACATACCCAACGATAATGTGCTTTTTTTGAGGAACAACGAGGTGTTGGGTGTGGGGCTAGAATTGTTGATAGAAAAGAGGAATCTAGCACCTACTCTTTTGATTTTTTTTTGAGATGGAGGAGATGGTAGGAGGAAAAGCTGAGGTGGATGGATGCCAGCAAATTAAAGATGATGAAAGGGAGATAGATTCTTGCTCTTAGGTGGAGAATAGCTATCCATTTTCTCAGTTGGTGGGGGGAGGTTGAGGTAATCAGAGGAACAAAATTAGTATTTGGATCCTGTGGAGATGTAGTAGAGCAGCACTACTTTGGACTGTTTGGGAGGAAAGAAATGCAAGAATATTTGAAGAAAAAGAAAAAAGTAAGGAAGCATTGGTCGAAAAAATAACTTTGAGGGTGGCACATTGGGCAAAAAGCTTTAAGCTGTTTTCAGATTTTATAGTCGAAGACTTTTTCAGGGTTTGGGGTGTTATTGCAGCCTCTTCATCTACAAGACAGCAATTTGTTGAGGTATGGTCTCCCCCAATAGAGGGCTGGAAGAAGCTGAACTTTGGCGGGAGTTGTGTGGGTAATCCAGGCCCCTCAGACATTGTGGGAGGGGGGGGGAGGGGCATTAGAGATGAAGATGGAAACATCATTTCTTTGTACTCCAGTCCTGTGGAACAGGGTGATGTGGCAAAGTCAAAGTTTCTAGCGATAGTTGTCAAGGCGACAAGGCGCCCTTGGGAGGCTCGCCTCGCCCAGTCGCGTAGCAGTTTTGTGCACTGGGTTATAAAATACTTTTATATTTTTAATTTTTTGACATTATAATTATAAAATAAACATGATTAAACTAGAATATTCATTTTATGTGTTTATATACTAATTTCTTTTTATTATTTTCTTATTTTGTTAGGGTTTAATCAATGCAACATTGCTAACTGCTGTATTGAACCCATGGTTCACAGTATCGATACACCTCTGTGTATTGGCAGAGGTGTATCGGTACTTACAGCAATACTTCCCCTATTTTTTTTATTTCTTTGGTTTTCAATTTCATTTTTTAAATATATATATTATTTAAAAAAATGGGTCCCCGAAAACACCTGTAAAAGGTATCGGGACCCCAAAGATACAATACAATACACCTGATATGGGGCGTATCATATCGAAATTTTGATCCTTGATTGAACCCTCAAAAATTTCAAAACCTGAACCTATAAGCAAAGGAAGAACTTAAAATTTTGTCTAATCAACACATTTTCTTCTTCCACCTTTTCTTTTCTTCTTTCCTATAACAAAAGTAGGAGTTCAGCCCCTATATTTTTTGAATTTTCTTAACTTTGGGTCAACTTACTAAAGCTGGTTAATGTAACAAAAAAGGATAAAACCAAATGTAAAATTCCATTGAATGCAAAAAAGATTAAAGGGATCTAATAATGGTCAATTGGTTAATGTAACAAAGGTTATTTCCTGATTGAAAGAAGGTATTTGTGGAGTGGGTCCTTGTAATAAATTTAAGAGGATGCACAAGAGGAAGAAAGTGAAAGGCAAGGATAGAAATAAAATGGGTGGATGAAGGATTATCAACTAAATAGAATCAAGTAATTTTGAAGATGGGGGACTCTGATCCTACTATAATACAACCTAAGGAATCAGATAGAGCATGAAGGGAAAGAGACAGTTCTGGAAGAAGAAAAGTTGTAGGTTCAAGCAAGTGAAGACAAACAGATTCTTGATCAAGTGAGACCAATAGAGAATGAATTTGAATTGGGCAAAGTTGTGGATGAGGAAGTTCATGTAAAATTTTGGGTCTATTTTTGGGTGGGGAGGAGTTTGCAAGGAGAACTTAAATGGAATTGGAAGCTAAGGCTTGTGGACTTGGTGATGAAAGTGGGGTGGATAAGAAATAGCTTTGCTTTGATAATTGGGGTGTGGATTTTTGGGTTGGGTGAAGTGGGAATTCAGGAGTTGGGCGAAGCAGGATCTATATTGCTTATAGGGTTGGATTTGGGGGCGGTAATGTAAGTTTCTTGTTGGGTGGGTTGGTGTTGTTTTGTTTTGATTCTTTTTCTTGTTTTTGGGTGATTTCTCATCATGTGGTGTGTGTGGTTGTTACTTATATGAGTTTAATGAATTTTCTTTTTATTTAGTTTCAAAAAGCAAAAACATACTTTTACTTCCTCTGCTTTTGCCAGATTGTCAACCAATTCATTAGTTATTCTTCTGACTCAAGCAAGGATCAAAACTTCACAATGTATCAGTGACTCACCAAACCGATATGCTATTATATGGACTGTTCTGGGTTTTGACTTGTTTCAGAGGGTAGACAGGCCTTATACCAACCCCCATGATGAGGTTTGAAAAAAAAACTTGAAAAAATAAAGTGCCTATTGATACAGATTGGTACGCCCCATACGACGTATTGGTCTGTATTGATATTTAGAATTTTGGACTCAAGTGAACAAGATGTTTTCCTTAATTAATAAAATCTATTTTTGTTACTGATAAAAAAGTGAACAAGATGTTGACCAAAGATCTAAGGGATTTTACTTCTCTGATCAAATGATTCATCTGTGATGGACCATCATCTTCTTTTCCTTTCTCCATCTAATAACTATCTAAGAATCACCTTGTGCGTCGAATTTCACATCCAATCTTTGACATTGTATTTCCTGTATTAGTCTTAAAGCTTTTATCAGTCTAGCATTTCTATTCTTATGTCATCATCATTTAAGCATTATCCCAACTAAATGGGTTTCTATTCTTATATCATCATCTTCATCATCATTTAAGCATTATCCCAACTAAATGGGGTTGGATACATGAATCCTTTTTTCCATTCTGTTCTGTTTAATGCCACATCCATTGTCAAATTAGCACTACTATTTTTATTGAGGTACAAAAGCAGCAGGTTGTGAAAATACATAGACAATTTTGCTGCTTTCATTTGTGAAAACTCCAATCTCTGAATTCCCAGGGTTACCAAGGAAGAAGTGACAGTCCTACTTCAAGGTCTAAGGTTGGATAAGCATTATGTTTGGGGGTCTGGGCACTTAGACAACTTGTGAGGGAAATCAATTGTTTAGCAAGGGAGATTGGGGTTTCCTTTAGATGGATTAGGAGACCAGCGAACATATTAGCTGACACTTTGGAAATACAAGGGGTTTCTATGGAGAATTTGTTCTGGGCTGTGTTGTGACTTGGTTTTTGGGGTTGGAACCTCTTTCTGGGTGGTTAACAGTTGTATTTCCTTATAGTTTCCTTAACGAATGTAACTATTTCCATGGAAAAGAAAGTGGTTACCAAGGAAGCAGCCATCAAAATTTATTTCTCTTTGAGCTGGAGTTAATCATATCTTTACACAATGGTCTCTCTTCGCATTCAGGATATAGCTTTCACACCATGATCTAAATTTACCATCAACAGTAAAACCTGAAAACTTTTTCCTTGAACACATCCATTGAACAACCTTATCCCAGAGGCACTGCTACTTACCAAGGGATTGCCCAAAGAATTGCACTGCTACTTATCATTAAACGCCCAAGGGAGAGAAGAAATCCCATAGCAAAAGGGAAAGAAAGACAGGATCACAAGAGCATATTATCCCCAGATAATAAACTTTGTTTGATGAACTTACCAACAGAAATCACTTTCTAAATCCACTTTGAGCACATTCTTTTTAAGCCTCAAATCTTCAGAATACTGTTCAGATCCCTCCGAGGCATCAATTTCAGCAATTTCCTGAATGATCTTTTTCTTCTCCTCTAGCATATTCCTTTCAATTACTCCATTTACAGTTAAAGCTAAACAAAAGAACCCTAGATTGTTCTTAGTTCTTACAACGGCAATATGATGCTTTTGTTGAATTTGGCACTCAGACATCTCTTCTGTTTATCTGCCTGACCTCTTTATTCTAGTCCATAAGTAGGTCCTCTGTAATTAATTTTCATAATATGGAAATAAGGTTTAACTTTGAGTGGCTTCCATTATTTCTGACCTAAAATTCTCTATGACCTGAACCAATCCATTTCCCCAAGTTAAAATCCATTGGCCAGCACCTTTTTTGCTCACATTATCATTCTTTTGATCCTTTTTTCTAATTTGAACCACTGCAACCTCTCTTTTTCATACACCAGCCCCTTTGTCCCTTCATTTTTTTGTCCTACACAGACTTGAATTAATAGAACCTTTTACCTGTCCTTGTCATTTGTCCGAAACATATTAAATATTTTAATTGATGCCATCATTGTCATCTGGTCCTAGATAGTTGCAATAAAGGCTTAAATGATGGCAATATTGACCGCATTAACAACTTGGGGGCAGTTAAGGCAGTACCCTGCTGCTTAGCCCCCCCCCNCCCCCCCCCCCCCCCCCCCCAAACAGTATCCATTTGCCCAAACCTGAATTCAAAAGGTCTGATAAGGTTATCTATATTTGGTCCTTTTACAATTGGATTAAACTTGCATCCATCCCTATCCAGATCTAATTTGATCTGAACCTGAAAGGCTTAAATAAATATATGCATATATCTACATAAAACTAATGTGTTTGTTAGTAAAGTTGGTTTTAATGATCTATTTTAGCTCCAGATTCATAACTTCAAGTCTTAGGGGCTGTTTGTTGATGGCTGAAGACAGGACTGATTGACTGATGTTTAAAATATTCCATTATCAGCATGTTTACCTTATCCCACTAAAGAATGAAAACACACTGAAAAAGGTCCATAAACATTAAGGATCTTAGGACCTACTTAAATTCTGAAACTGAATGATGAGTTATAACACCACTCTTATTCCCTCATACTTTTTCAATATGACAAACAATACCCCTGGGAAGTGGGAACTAAACTGTTCATGGACCACGTAGAGGTCCACTTTTTTTCTATCTCTGCTTTTCTCCCTCCACTCTCTCATTCCTTTGTATCCACTTCTATCCCTTATTTGAGTTCTGATTTTCCTTATCTATTTTGCTGCCTCCTCTTGGTTGATAGAGGAGTGAAGAAATGTTAAATCTATTTGAAGATGTTGTGAAGCATGATATAACCAAAGTTAAGCTCTGTTCATGTTGGATCTTCTCAATACCCTTCTATTATCTCTATTTAGTTTTAGAAGCTTCTTTTTTATAGTTAGGGAGATTCTTTCTGTTGTTTAGGATTCATTTTTTGGGTATTATCTTTGATATAACTAAAAATTCAGTACAAGGAGCTGAGCCAGTAGTTCAATTCAAGTTCCGCAAGGCGTTGTGATTCAAGCTCTGCACTGTAGTTTTTAGCATTCAGCTCTCCATGTTTACCAAACATATTAAGTACATTCAATAACTTATCAACATTCATCATCAGCTAATCAGCAATTCAGATATCTTTTCTCAGCAGTTATCAAATGTCCCCCTTACATCCAAAAAAAAAGGCCCCCTCACAATTTTTTTCATGTTATTCATGATATGTAGTTTCAAAGTCATTTCTAGTTCATTTTATTAATAATATGGAATGTTTTGATAACCTTTTAGTTTAATTTATTATTTGCATGCAATATCTGAAGCCAACCCAAGCCTGATATGAACCTGATGCCTGTGGAAATGATTTAATTTGAATCTGAATATGGATGGATCAAACTTGGGTCGAGGTATATCCAATTTGAATCTGATCCATTTACAAACTTAGCCCTAATCTAGCTTTGTCATCTTGATAACTATGGCCAACCTGTCTCAAGACCTTGGTTAGGGGGGCCTAGAATTTGGTAACAACCTTTTGTTTCGAGGTTTAGGATCTTGTATTGGCATTGTACATTTGATCATCTATAGTGTTTCCACTGTGTGTGTGTGTGAGAAGTGGGGAGTGGAAGGCGGAATACAAGACTTATTATGAAGTCAAATTGTTGTGCAGGTATCCTTGCTTGTCTGGATGGATATATGAACATAGCAATGGAGCAAACCGAAGAATATGTCAACGGGCAGCTAAAAAACAAATATGGCGATGCTTTCATTCGAGGAAACAACGGTAATATTACAAGATTCATTTTTCCATACCATCTTTATGTTCCAAATAAAGATGAAAATTAGGATTTCTATCTCTTCCTGTGGATGCAGTTTTGTACATCAGCACATCAAAGAGGACACTAGCAGATGGGGCCTAGGTACCTAGCCTTGAGCTGTTTCTGAAAAAGCAAAAATACGTCTGATTTGCAATGCCCGTGGAGATATCAACCATAACTCCTACCTTTCAATGAGATACTTCTGATATCAAACATAATGCAGTAGCATCTTGGCAGGATTCTGTATGTCTTAATGGTTGTGAGTTTGTGACTGGAAACCATGTCTAGCCCAAAACAATTGCATACCATAATGCATCCATCTTAATTCTTAAATAGACTTCTTGTTAGAATGCACTGTAGAAAACTCATGTTGGGGTTTGAACTTTGAAGAAATGTACTTGCTTTCGAATTTTCATTTGACATTGTGACCGAAGCATATGACGATGACATGCTTTCAAAAGCTAAGCAAACATATAGTGAGATCACGGTTAGGCTGCAGAAAGATGGGATTTCAGATACATATACATAGCATAGTTCGAAATTCTATTCGTCTTTGTCTGGATTTGAATCGATTCTAATCCATGCGGAACTGTGGATCCGACTTTTATTTTTGAAGCCTATTAATGAACTAAACTAAAATGATTAAAATGTTTATATTATTAATAAAAGAGTGTGATTAGAGAAAAAACTACATTTTTTTTTTATTGAGAATGAAATAATCATCCCTGTAGTAATTTTTATTGGGTGGCATTGTGTTTAGGGCCTTTAGGCAGTCTTGTTACTTGGTTGTTATCCTTAACACGAGTCACTAATGAGCTCTACAAGATCTGGACATCAAAACCTATTTGCCTTAGTCTTGTCTTGTGTGCCCGCTAAGCATAGCTTGTTCTGGGCTTGGACCATGATTTCTGGTCCCGTCCGTTACTTTCTAGGAATGGCAATGGATAGGGTATCTGTGAAAATTAATCCATTCCCGAACTTGCCTAGGTAGTAAGTACCTTTAGGCAGTCTCCAAAGTTTATTATCAACCAACGATATTCAACAACAACCATCGTTACATAGAATGGGTTCCATATAAAAGAACAAAACAAAATATAGTATAAGTCAAAAAATAAATAAAACTAAGTGACATAAGAGATAGGAGCACTTGCTGCCTCTATCGGAACATCATCCTCAACTGAAGAGATGTACATTGAATCAGATAAGTAGAGCCTACATATATAGATATTTTATAATAAGATTATCATTAGTTTGAATTTTGACAAATAGATACCATTTGCAATCTTAATTACAACAATAAAATTTTAAAAAGAACTATAAATATTTAAAAATCATTAACAAGTATGTCACCTAAAAATAATGCTTGGAATGGACTTGAATTTACCCAGACTAATTCAATCTCAATCTAAATTCAGACAAATAGATAACATTTGCAATCCAAAATCTTAATAACATTAATTTAAAGTCTAGTTGAATTTAGAAATAATTATATCAATAAAATTTTAAAATTAATTGATAAAAAAATTAAAATTCATAGACAAATATTTCACCTAGAAATATTGTTTGGATTGGACTTAAACTTGCCCAAACCAATTGATTCTTAATTTGAATTTAGACAAATAGATATAATTTGTATTTTCAAATCTTAAATCCTAATTATATTAATTTAAAATCCATTTAAATTTAATTATAATTATGTTAATAACATTTTAAAATTAACTAATAAAAATTTAAATTTCATAAACAAGCAACTCACCTAAAAGTATTGCTTGGGGATTGGACTTGAACCTAACCAAATTCCCCAAACTTGCAAATTAACCAATTAGGAATGTCATAGGTCATAGGGCTCCTTTGTCTTGGATTCTAATTAATTTCTATTAATATATATTATATATTAAAAATTATTTTATACTATATATTATCTTACATTATATTATACCATCTTATTAGGGTTGGAACGAGTCGGATACCTAGAAATTCCTATGAAATCGCCATCCATAGTTACTTCTATATGATGTTGAGAGCTTATTTTTGCCTTTGATGGGAAATGGATTGGATTATTTTGTGTAAGGTGATGGATTTAGGATTAGATTATTTTGTGTAAGGCAATGGATTTGCGAGAAAATTTGCTCTGGAGAGGATATCTAAATGGCCCAAAAATCCAATGTGCAAGTTTGGACCAATGAAGGTTCCTACTCAGCCCAAGACTCATACGTTGCGAAACTCTTAAGAAGAAACTCTTTTTCACTAGAACGAATACTCCAAGACCACTCCCATAATCGGTAAAGTGAATTAAAATACCTTATCAAGTGCTAATAAAAAGGGTAAATTGCTAAAACTTCCCTTAAGTTTCTCATCATTGTTGAAACCTCACTTGAAGTTTGGTAATTGCAATCAACTCCCCTGAACTTTGTGACACAGTTGCAAGTTGATCCCCTTTGTTAAAAATCCTTTAATAAGAGGCACATAAATGTCCAAAATACCTATATAGTTATTATTGAGGTTGGTTTCTACGATAAAAACAATACAAACTTTATGAATAACAAAGAGAGAGAGAGAGAGAGAGAGAGAGAGAGAGAGAGAGTTTTTAAAGTTGCAGTTTTATCTTTGAGCAATTGATATGAAGGGAAAATTTGAAAAATAATTCAATTTCTGGAAAGAGATTGGAAGAATTTGGGGTATCGATTGATTTGAAGAGAAAATATGAAATTAAACATTTTGGTCAAAAGTAACTTCATGGGCATTTTGGACACTTTTGTGCCTATTATTAGAGGATTCTAGCAGAAGGGGTCTACTTGCAACCATATCAAAAAAGTCAGAGGAGGTGATTGTAAATATCAAACTTCAGCAGAGGTTTCAGCAATGGTGAGAAACTTAAGGAAAGGCTTTAGTAATTTACTAAAAAGGTGAATTACAATGACCACCCTTGTACTATGGGGTGAGTGACAATGACTCTTTTTTGATAAAACCAGGTGGTGCTACACAAGCCGGGGTGTAGCACAATCCCACAAGTCACTCTAGCAGTTAAAGTCTAGTTCCCAAGGGAGATTACATAGATTTAAAGAGATACAACCATTAAGAACCAAATAAGCTTTATTAGCAAGCCAATATGCTGCCTAATTAGCTTCTTCGTAGATGTGTCTATACCACACACCATGCATAAGCTGGTCCTTGATCCGCAAGCAATCCTGCACAATATTCCCAAGATTCCAAGGAGGGGTGACTTGACCATTAAGAATAGAAATGACGAGCTTCGAGTCCCCTTCAATAATAATTGCTTGATTTCTAAAGTTTGCAGCCAGATTATGTACCTCCCACGCAGCCCATGCTTCCACAGTATTGACGGTAGAGATGCCAAGATTGTAACCTTTGAAGTCTACTATTTTGCCAATGTGATTCCTAGCAACTGCAGCCACCGAACACGTCCCATTGTTCGAGCGAGATACATCAAAATTTATTTTGATCAATCCAAATTTAGGGGGAAGCCATGTAATACCTATCCACTTTTTCCTCCCTCTTGAAATTCCTAGGTCCTACAAAATATAAAAAAAACTCAACCAAATTCTTTGAAGCTTTTTCCACAATGATTTGAGGAGGGGTTGAGTTATTGGAAAAAAGTTTTTTAATTTCTGTTTTTTCTAAATTTGCCAGAGGATATTAACACACATTTCCATCGTATTGCTTTTCTTTTTCAAATCCATCTCATATAAATTTGACCCCCAAACCTGTTTAGCCACCTCACACCCCTTAAAGACATGGTCTAAATCTTCCTCCTCGTAGAAACTGCAACCTCCGTCTATATTTAAACCTCTAGCCCTTAGTAGGTTTTTTTGAAGGGAGTTTGTTTTTTTAGCAGTAAGAAAAGAAAGGCTGAGCTTCGGATAACATTTTAGGTTCCATACGAAAGCTCTCCAGTTGACATTATTTTCTCTATTGGAAGACAAACTGCATTTCAATTTACAAGCTGACTTCAATGAAAAATTCACCACTTGGATTCAATCTCCATATCATCTTGCCTTCAACTTCTCCTGATGGAATGAAAATATATTTTATCTTGTTCCATATGATCTGAGGGACAAGTCCTTGGATTTTATCCTCCCTCCAGACTCTCCTTTCTTGGTTAATACAATCGCTAACACACTGATTATCCAGTTCACCTTGGCCTATATTTAAACTTTCAGCAATAGATGAATTGTCCATCCATCTATCATTCCAAAAGTTTATGGATTTATCATACCCAACTTCCCATCGAAGTCTTCTTTTTAAGAGATCTCTAGCATGGAGGATACCCCTCCAGGCCCAATAAATCCTCTTATTACTTTTTGCACTCCATAAATTCTCCTTTCTCAGATTCTTGCCCCCAACCACTCTAGCCATAGATTACTATTCTCATTAAGGAGTTTCCATCCCAGCTTAGTTAGGTTGACTTCATTAACCCAATGCAGATTCAGAAGATCAAGCCCTCCCCAACTTTTTGGAGAGCACACTTTATTCCAACTAAGCAAATGCACATGCTTCTTCTCACTTGAATTGGTCCACATGAATCTCTTATGGGTTTTGTCAATGTCATTAATAATACCTTGGGGCAGTCTAAAGGATCTCATTAAATACTGGGGCATCATGCTGGTGGTAGAACATAGAAGGGTAAGTCACCCTAATAAAGATAATGAATTCTTTTTTCACCCAACTAGCTTTTTTGTTGACCTTATCTTTTACATATTGAAAGGTGTTTCTTACAACCCTAGAATTAATTAGAGGATCCCTCAAGTAAAAATTTGTATTTGGTTGGATTGGGATATTAAGGAACCGAGCCAAAATTTTTTGCAACCTATTTGGAATATTTTTGGAGAATTGGATAGTTGACTTGTTAAAATCTGGGGTTTGTCTAGAAGCTTTTGCAAAATTCTCTAAAATTTCTTTAATTTTCACATAAGTTGGAATTGTAGTGTAAGAAAAAATCAGGCAGTCATATGCAAACTAGAGAACTGGGATTTTTGAACTATCTTTAGCTGCATTACTTCCAATAGGATTACCAAGAATCAAAGATTCCTTCTCACGTTTTCTAGTAAGGGCTTCCACACATAGAACAAATATGAAAGGGAAGAGAGGGTCTCCCTATCTGATCCCCCTAGAGGGAGAATTTTCTTGAGGGGGAGTCATTAATCGCAACTTGAAAGGACACTATCTTGATACACTTCATGACCCACCCTACCCATCTTTCTTGGAGAGTCCATATTTTTTGAGCACTTTTTCAATGAATTCCCATTCCAATCTATCATAGGGTTTTTCCATGTCAATTTTGTAAGCCATGATACCTTTTTTTCCCTCTTCTTTTTCGTCAAATGAATCATTTCATGGGATATCAAAATATTGTCATTAATTTATCTATTTAGAACAAAAGCATTTTGGTAAGGAGATATTA